TCTACTATCTATATCAGCCTCCAAATCGTTTCATGTTTATTTCTGAACAGATAACTGTATCCTTAATAGAATCACTTGTCAGCAATCAAATGTGCGCTCCTTAAAGGGGGTTGCTGACAAGCATTCTGGAATGTGTGAGATACTTGTCTGTTCTCACTTTATGTTAAATTAGCTCGACTTACAAACTGCTCTCACTTAATGTTAAATTAGCTCGACTTACAAAGCAAGCCAGGTTATTAAAACATTACATGATCGAGAAGATGAGATCAAAACAATGTGACCCAGAAAACATAGAACAAAATTATTGTCCAAAGCAAAATCATAACAAACTAATTATTCAAGAATTCGACATTTGTAAGGATAAATTATTGATTAATTCCTTTGTGCCAATTGCTTCAGCATTTTCCATTTTAACATAAAACAGTGAATTCTAGAAAATCCATGAGCAACATGCCGCGTATAAATTTAAGTAAACTAGTTCAAAAGAATTTGTCAGAAAAGAAAAACATCTTCATGATACGTCAAACTTTGCATCAAATGGTCAAGTGGCGTGATGATCTTATGATGATAAACACAAGTCTCAAATAAAAAAAATTAAACCAAGAAAGCTACCTTGGAAGAAATTCGGTGACAATGGAAAGATTAGGCACCCGAGTGATAGCACCCATGAAAAGAACAACATTAGGATGACGTAACCGCTTCATTATTCGCACCTAGACATGAAGCAATTATCAGGATAACTGCATAAGAACAAACTTATTAAACCATTACTACACATGAAGGAAACAAACTGTGGTCAGGCTACTGACTTAATTTCTAGCAATAGCCTGCTTAAATTTGCACTCAATTAGTATGAATCTATTGTCAAAAGTAATTATCTAGAGAATATGGTGTAAACTCAACCAGTAAATCTACCATTACACATAATTTCTACTGCAATGCAGTACAATTTACAACAGCGCAGAAAAAATATGATTACTTCACAGAAACCTTGACGATTGGCTTACAAAATGCACATGCAGAGTGCATATGAAAGCCAACAGCACTGTACAACAGACATCAGGACATACTTACATAAGCATAATAAACACCAACAAAGCCGACATCACTGTACTTACATCTATTTATGCCATTTCAAATATAGAAAGCAGTTTACCTCAGCTTTAAATTCATCCAGAGCATCGCTTGAAATATCTTGTTGCAAAAACTTCTTGACTGCAACTTCCTATAGGCAAAGCAACTTATTATTCTTTAAAAATGGCATTAAACAGAATATAAAAATTAAAGGGATTGCTAAATGATTAACACAACTCCGCCTATGTTGTTTCAACATAGCCGGTCCCAAGCCCGGGTAAAGGAGGAGGGTTGTGATAGGCTTGGCGAGCCAACGTAAAAACTCAGCCACTCTTATGGAGATGAAACCCAAAAGATTTTCGTTGGAGCCTAACCCTTCAAGCACGCGCCACATCGGAACCTGGGTGTGGTGTCAAATGGGCAAGGGCCGGGCCGTCACCCCCCTGGTGGCACGCCGTATCTTGATCCGGATACGGTGGCAAGCAAGCGAGGATTGGGTCGTACATCCTTAGTGGCGCTCTACATCGGCGCCCGGATATAGTGGAAAATGAGCAAGGGTCTTCGCATTTGACTCGACGAGTGCGAAGGGTAAGGAAGCTAGCCGAGCCTAGGAGGATTCGCTTAGGTAGCTGGAACGTAGGGTCTCTGACAGGGAAGCTTCGAGAGCTAGTTGATGCAGCGATGAGGAGAGGTGTTCATATCCTTCGCGTCCAAGAAACCAAATGGAGGGGACAGAAGGCGAAGGAGGTGGAGGATACCGGCTTCAAGTTGTGGTACATGGGGACGGCTGCAAACAAAAATGGCGTAGGCATCTTGATCAACAAGAGCCTCAAGTATGGAGTGGTAGACGTCAAGAGACATGGGGACCGGATTATCCTGGTCAAGCTGGTAGTTGGGGACTTAGTTCTCAATGTTATCAACGCGTATGCCCCGCAAGTAGGCCACAATGAGAACACCAAGGGGGAGTTCTGGGAAGGCCTGGGAGACATGGTTAGGAGTGTACCCATTGGCGAGAAGCTCTTCATAGGAGAAGACCTCAATGGCCACATGGGTACATCTAACACATGTTTTGAAGGGGTGCATGGAGGCTTTGGCTATGGCGTGAGGAATCAAGAAGGAGAAGATGTCTTAAGCTTTGCTCTAGCCTACGACATGATTGTAGCTAACACCCTCTTTAGAAAGAGAGAATCGCATCTGGTGACTTTTAGTAGTGGCCAACACTCTAGCCAGATTGATTTCATCCTCTCGAGAAGAGAAGATAGGCGTGTGTGCCTAGACTGTAAGGTGATACCTGGAGAGAGCAGCGTAAGCTGGTGGTTGCTGACTTTCGCTTTCAGATTCATGTCCAGCGGGATAAGCGTGCCAAAGTCGCTAGAACGAAGTGGTGGAAGCTCAAGGGGGAGGTAGCTCGGGCATTCAAGGAGAGGGTCATTAAGGAGGGCCCTTGGGAGGAAGGAGGGGATGCGGACAATGTGTGGATGAAGATGGCGACTTGCATCCGTAAGGTGGCCTCAGAGGAGTTTGGAGTGTCCAGGGGAAGGAGAAGCGAAGATAAGGATACCTGGTGGTGGAATGATGATGTCCAGAAGGCGATTAAAGAGAAGAAAGATTGTTTCAGACGCCTATTCCTGGATAGGAGTGCAGACAACATAGAGAAGTACAAGATGGTGAAGAAGGCCGCAAAGCGAGCTGTCAGTGAAGCAAGGGATCGGGCGTATGAGGACCTCTACCAACAGTTAGGCAAGAAGGAAGGCGAAAGAAACACCTATAAGATGGCCAAGATCCAAGAGAGGAAGACGAGGGATATTGGCCATGTCAAATGCATCAACCAGACCAACTCTTGGTGAAGGACGAGGAGATTAAGCATAGATGGCGGGAGTACTTCGACAAGGTGTTCAATGGGGAGAATGAGAGTTCTACCATTGAACTGGACGACTCCTTTGACGAGACCAGCATGCGTTTTGTGCAGCGAATCCAGGAGTCTGAGGTCAAGGAGGCTTTGAAAAGGATGAAAGGAGGCAAGGTGATGGGCCCTGATTGTATCCCCATTGAGGTGTGGAAAGGCCTCGGGGACATAGCGATAATATGGCTAACCAAGCTTTTCAGTCTCATTTTTTGGGCAAAAAATATGCCAGAAGAATGGAGACGGAGTATATTAGTACCAATCTTCAAGAACAAGGGGGATGTTCAGAGTTGTACTAATTACCGTGGAATTAAGCTGATGAGCCATACAATGAAGCTATGGGAGAGAGTCATTAAGAACCGCTTAAGAAGAATGACAAGCATGACCAAAAATCAGTTTGGTTTCATGCCTGGGAGGTCGACCATGGAAGCCATTTTCTTGGTATGACAACCTATGGAGAGATACAGGGAGCAAAAGAAGGACTTGCATATGATGTTCATTGACTTGGAGAAGGCCTATGATAAGATACCGCGAAATGTCATGTGGTGGGCCTTGGAGAAACACAAAATCCCAGCAAAGTACAGTACATTACCCTCATCAAGGACATGTACGATAATGTTGTGACAAGTGTTCGAATAAGTGATGTCGACACTGATGACTTCCCGATTAAGATAGGACTGGATCAGGGGTCAGCTTTGAGCCCTTATCTTTTTGCCTTGGTGATGGATGAGGTCACAAGGGATATACTAGGGGATATCCCATGGTGTATGTTCTTTGCGGATGATGTGGTGCTAGTTGACGATAGTCAGACAGGGGTAATAGGAAGTTAGAGTTATGGAGACAAACCTTGGAATCGGAAGGGTTTAGGCTTAGTAGAACTAAAACCGAGTACATGATGTGCGGTTTCGGTACTAATAGGTGTGAGGAGGAGGAGGTTAGCCTTGATGGGCAGGTGGTGCCTCAGAAGGACACCTTTCAATATTTGGGGTCAATGCTACAGGAGGATGGGGGTATTGATGAAGATGTGAACCATCGAATCAAAGCTGGATGGATGAAGTGGCGCCAAGCTTCTGGCATTCTCTGGGATAAGAGAGTGCCACAAAAGCTAAAAGGCAAGTTGTACAGGACGGCGGTTCGACCCGCAATGTTGTATGGCGCTGAGTGTTGGCCGACTAAAAGGCGACATGTTCAACAGTTAGGTGTGAAGGAGATGCGTATGTTGAGATGGATGTGTGGCCACACGAGGAAGGATCGAGTCCGGAATGATGATATACGAGATAGAGTTGGGGTAGCACAAATTGAAGAGAAGCTTGTCCAACATCGCTGAGATGGTTTGGGCATATTCAGCACAGGCCTCCAGAAGCTCCAGTGCATAGCGGACGGCTAAAGCGTGCGGAGAATGTCAAGAGAGGTCGGGGTAGACCGAATTTGACATGGGGGGAGTCCGTTAAGAGAGACCTGAAGGATTGGAGTATCACCAAAGAACTAGCTATGGAGAGGGGCGCGTGGAAGCTTGCTAACCATGTGCGAGAGCCATGAGTTGGTCGCGAGATCTTATGGGTTTCACCTCTAGACTACCCCGACTTGTTTGGGACTAAAGGCTTTGTTGTTGTTGTTGTTGCTAAATGATTAACACATAATGCTGAGCAAACATGAGGAATCTTCAAACTAACCAGGATGGTTACTGAAGCCTGTCACTATAAATATCACATTTCATTTCAAGGTCTGGGTGAAAACAGAAAGCAACAGGTGGCAAAAGTCTACTGGTAAAAATTTCCCTTTTGGTGCAAGGCTCAAACACTTAACACTATTTATTTACCTTTGTATCTCAGTGCAAGCATCTCACATTATGGAGGAGAAAAAGAACAAGATAGCGTTTTTTGCAGAATTTTAACTGACTTTCCTGATTGATAAATGTCAATGACACTGAAAATTAGAGACCTATAGTCTCAATGTTATAAGTCAACATTTCTTTCACATCAGTAGTCCCCATAGACAAAGAGAAGTTAAATTGGCTTCCTTATATTTCCTTTGCTCATTTAGCAATTGACATGGAACTAGTTAATAAATTTGAAGACTATAAGAGCACATTTAAACTGAAAGACTTACTGTTCCATGCCATTCACCTCTATAAACTTCTCCAAATGATCCTGAAACACAAATTGGTTGCACGGAAATTAAAAACTTTGAAATCATTTATGCTAACATCAGAGAATCATTACACACAGCCGCTGAAAAAAATAATATGACTAAGATAAAATTCATGTAAATAAATCAAGAGAGCGGTACCAAGGCCAATCCGTTCCCCGATTGCAATTTCTTCCAACTGCATCTCAAACTCTGCAACATCGTCTAGAGTAACTTCAGATTTTGCACTTTCTGTCCCGCTTGATTTATCTGAGGTTCTTTCAGCTTCCCGGGGAACTTCGGCAGAATCCCTTTCTTGATCTAGAGCATTATCTTGGCCATGACCAATTTCAGTGTGCTGTTTATCCCAAAAGTCATCTGCAGCTTTCTCAACTGATTCATTTCGTTCAGATGTGCTTGGTAAACTAAGTAGCTGATTACCAGGCTCCGAGTGTTCATATTGCTTGCTAACAGCAGCAGTTGTTGCAACAACTGCAGCTGCGGTAACGGTGGCTGCAGCTGCAACGGGCACATCAAATTTCATATCACTGTTAGATTTTGCGGCTGCCACAACCATCGAAGACGCCACCACTGCAGCAGTTGCAACAGCAGCGGCCGTGACAGGCAATTGCTTTGAGAGCTGTGACGAAGTTTCCTGGGGAGGTGCCGAAGGTTCATAATGAGAAAAATAGGGAGATGTGTTATCACGGATATCCGGATGATGGTATATACCCAAACCCTCGATAGGTTTAAGTGAGTCCAGAAGTGCCCGGTGAGGTACAATTTTTGATTGGAGTTCATGCCCAGGACGATGAGACGGTGATGGGCCATGACCACGATCAGCATATTCCCTTGATCCAACCTCATTCATTCTCCTTTTCATTTCATCCTTGCTTTGAAATAGGGTGGCATCACACACAATTAGATCCTTTGGCTCCTCCATTGAATCTTCTGAAAACAAGTCAGGCGGTGCCACTACTCCATTTTCAAGTAAGACCTCATGGATTTTCCGCGCTAACTGTGGATTTTCCCTGGCAGCATGAATCATGTACTCTGAGATATCCTTTACTTTCATCCTCCGGAAACCCGTAGTGCTGCCCACTTCTGGGGAAGAAGGTGAACTTGATAGAGAATTATTTGCACCAACTGGTTTTTCTTTGTTCTTTGGTGCCACCGCTTCTTCTGTGCCTCTACTTTCATTGATAACAGGTTTATTTTCACTTGGGAATGTGCTAACCGATAAATTTTCAAAAGAACTTATCGTATTTTGTTGATTGCTTGTTTGACTAGTCGCAGCTCCATCTGTATCAGAAGGACCAACGTTGCTTGATGTCGATCTTCTGTCAAGTAGCTCATACTCAAAGGAATCGCATGCAGAATTTGAGACTCCACTGTGAGAAGATCCCAACTGATTGGTCATATCAGCTTTGCTTAACTGATGATTATCTGAGTAGGAACTGTCTTCAAATTCTGTAGACAAAACAGCACCCTCTGAAGGAATAACTGTGCCAGGATCTGTCACGAGATCAACGATGAACTCCCTGCAAAATGCAGCATGGCATAGAAGGTTATAAAGTCTCTAGTGCATCTTCTTTAGTTTTTTCTAGGTCCTAACATTTGGGTGAAGCAAGAAATCTAACCACGCACAGCACAATTATCCCATCAGATGCTTATATGTGCTACAGAATCTCATTTATGCTGACTGTGTGTGCAAAGGGTGTAATACCTTCCATCGTCATATTTCACAATGTTCAAAGCTCCATCATCCGATCCAGTATACTGCCTTCCTTTCAGGAGTCGACAAGGGATATGAAGGCTATCAGCCAAAACCTACATCCAAGTGTGGAGAGGAAATAACTATTAGTACACCAGTGAGGCACCTATTGGACAAATGTCTTGCACAGTGTTTCCCCATGTCAGCAAAGCAATTGTTAGCATACTTATGGATCATTTTTTGACAAATGTTTCGCTCATGGTTTGCTGCATTATATCTATATATTTCATAGAACAGCGAGGAAACGTTATCATCCATTTTGATATTAGAACAATGTGAAACAACAATGTTGATATGAAATTCTGCATCGAATTACGGGGTGACAAACTAAAACATTACAACAGATATCCATGCTTAGCAAATTCTGTTTGTACAAAGATAGGAGACGATTGGTCCCGCCATCTAAAAATGTTTAATATATTTGTAAATTACTGACCTTAAATAGCAGCGCGCGATGACGAGCTAGACCAGTTTTTAATTGGCCAAGAGGCACAACTACACTTCCAATACGTGCTCTCAGGGATCTGATCATATTCTGGTATTTTCTCGACGTGTTCTCAGGATCAAATATTAGTCCGCCCATGTGGTTAGAAACTAAATTAGCAAGTTTTTGAATCAAAACATTGCCAACAAATTCTGAATTTCTCGATCGAAGTTCAATAGCAATGATTGAGGCCTTCTGCTCAAGTTTCATAAGCTCAGGATCTTCACCTCTGTGAACCAATACAGTTTCCCAGTTGACACTATTATGTGAAACTGGCTGTGCTCGCAGTTCACTCAGAGAGGGCATGTTTATTGATGCCGGCCCATTCCCAATGACGTAGAGATCATAAAAACCATCTGTTATCTTGTCATCATAGCCAAGGGCGTTGAAATTCTGTGGACCAAGAACAAATATATCATATAATATGTGTCAGAATATGGTAATGGTAGAATAAAAGTAATGAGCATTTGAGTATATAGAAAGTTAGAAACACCACAATACATGGTCCATAAGAAACCCTATCGAAGATGCCATTTGTGCTCATTTATGGTCCATCAATCCCGTTTACAAAGTCGACATAGGATTCATGCATTATCAAGCAACAAATTGGTGATTACAAATAAGTATAAACATAGAAGAACTAATTTGCTGAAGGAGCTCCTACTGTTACCAGTCAACCGCTAATAATGGATCTACCAGCATCACACTCTTGAACACACACAAGACATTATACTATGGCATATAGTCATACATGAAAGTGAGTATCAGATGTTATCCTGCAACACAAACTCTAAAGAATTCCTATCAAGAGGTTAGTCCTTTTGGAAATTTCCCTGAATTCGTGGGTTTTCGGTATGGCGCAACCAAACAACTTCTGTTAGTTACTCATGCTGGATTCAACATGCCATGACATCCAATTACTAAGTTTTTGGGTCCCTGTGGATTTCATCTTCTGTGTTCCAAAGTAGCTACCACTTTGCTTAAGAGAGAGACCCTACTGTTACGAATCTAATAAGGAATATACCAGCATCAAGCTCTTGCTAGAAGACTAGGAAGCACACAGCAATGAGCATTATCGTAATGGATGATCACAATTGTGATATGAGAAACATAATGGACAATCGAAACCGATCATGGAAGCAGGCAGGGCTAGATTGCTAACTGACCCAGTATCGGGCCGCGAGGACCTCAGCGAGGGAGCTCGCGGGGCGGCGGAAGCCCAGGCTCATCTGCTTGGCGACCTCGATCTCCATTTCCTCGGGGTTGTCCCGGGCGCTCATCTCCAGCACGAGCTGCAGCTGGAACTCCTCGAGGTCGTCCTCCTCCTTCTCCCTCTCCCGCTTCCTCTCCTCGGCCTCGGACGACTCCCTTATGACCCGCTCCTCCACCGCGTCCTCCTCCCGCGATCGCCGCCGCTCGCCCTCCTGCGAGAGCCTGCGCTCCATTCCCTCCTCCTGCGCGCGCCTCCTCTCGCCCACCGGCCCCGATGGCCGCCTATCCTCCCCACCCAGCGACGCGGACGCCGACCCCTCCGCCTCCGCGGGGGGCGGGGGCGTCGGGGGCGGGGGCCGCGTCGGGACGGAGTCGAGCCAGGTGGACACCACCGAGGGCGGCTGCTGCTGCCGCTGCTCGGGGAGGTGATGGTGGACCGCGCCTCCGCCTCCGCCTCCGCCTCCTCCTCCGCCGCCGCCGCTGCCCTTGCGGGGGAGCGGCGGGGCGGGCGGCGACGCGCCGTCCCCGGACCCCTCCCCGATGTGGAGCTTCCTGAAGAAGTTCTTCATGCCGCCTCCCTCCGCCGCCGAAACGAAAGTCGCCGAGCAGCAGCAGCTATTGGGCGCCTACTGGTGTTGGTGGTGGGTGGATGGATCCGACATGGCCACTGACGCGGGACGGACGGGGGTAACTTTAGCCAACTATTGACCCGCCTCGACGCCTCCCAGTGGCCAGACGTCATTAGTTTAAGCGTGCCGTTATCGCTAGCGACCTGCCGCTACAGCCCCGCCCCCGCATTTTTCTCTCGTTCCACGGCAGGTCGGTACCCCGTACCCGGCAGCGATTCCTCCCCGGCGGGGAAGGAAAGGGACCGGAGCGGGTTCGTTTACCAGAAACAGAAAGAGTCAGGGGTTTGCGCGCTAATTACCCCCCGTTCTTCAGGATTTTTGGTAAGCTCGTATCGCTTGCGTCTTCCTACAACGCGTGCAGTTATTATGGAAAGGCGTGCGGATGTCTCGTCGCGTCTCGTCTGACCGCAGAAATACTCGAGCGTGCTGGCCTGTGAGGCTGGCCTGTGGGGCGGGCGATACCCTGGCCCGCTTGTCATCGAGCTGCCGCCGTGCGGGTGCGCTCCCGTGCGCGGCCGGTCTTGCCCGCCGAACGGAAGGTGATAAGTAGAAGAATGGAAAAAGAAAGCATGTTTGTTTAGTTGTGTGTAAGCGGAAGCAGACAAAGGATAGATAACGCTGACAGCGCCACCCGACCTGCGTGGACCCGGCTCACGGAGGCATACCCCGGTTTGCTTGGCCGTCTGACATGGGTGGACTGGTGGACAGCCCACTACGCTTGGCTGGCTAGGTAGTGGTGGCGGCGCCGCTCGTTCGTTCGTTCGTACGAGCACTTGACGGCACGGTCCCGCCCATCATTCATGCTTGCTCCGCTAGCGCGTGGGTCCCGCTTGGGGCGGCTTTACCCTCCTCCCACTGACAGGCTGATCTGGCTGGTTTATTGGCCCACTTGCCATTTGCTGCTGGTGTAGTAGTGAACAGCCGAGCATTATCATAGCAACACAAACGGCCTGCCTACGACCTTTTATTTATTTATTTATTTATTTATACACATCCCACACACCACGCAATCATGTTCACCCGCTGACATGTGGGGGCGACAGCCGTAACCTGCTTCGGGGCCAGAATGCCCTTCGCATCGCTTGCTGAGAAGAAGAGGGCTGTCAGTCAACTGATTTTGGGCTCTGTTAAATTGTTGTTCTGTTTCTCGTGCATGTTTCTAATATTAGGGCATCTCCAACGCCGACTCTCGAACCGTCTGTATCCTTCTAGACGCAACTGTTCGGACACTACAAGCCATCCAACACCGATTCCATCGGTCAGTTCGGACCATAATTTTCTCACAAAATCGAAACAAACTGGGGGGGGGGGGGCTTTATAGGAGTCTGGACACGAGCCACATAGGACTCCGACACCCCCGGCCCATAAAACCTAAGGCAGAGCCCGCGTTTTTGTAGCTTGCCGCACTGTTTCCACGACAAAATCCTATACTCTATTCTTCCATCCCGCCGCTCTCCATCAAATTCTCGCCCTTTTCCTCCACTTCTCTTTCCTCCCGCTGTCGACGCATGGACCCGGACGAGACCCTGCCGGGGACGGAGGTGGTGGAGGACCCAAGCATCACTCTCTCCCGGAAGATCAACTCGGCGACACGGCAAAAACGTCACGTCAAAGCAAAGGCCGCAATGGAGGAAAAGCTCAAGGAGAAGGCCGACGGAGGGCGTGCTGGTGGCGGACGTGGCGGTGGGCATGCTAGTCACAGACGTGGTGGAGGTCGAGGGCTGGGTCGCGCTGCCCCGCCACCCTTGCCGATCGTGCTGACGCCGCCATGGCCGAAACAACCTCCGTACTACTACGCCGCCAAACAGTTGGGTAGGTAGTGTTGGAAATATGCCCTAGAGGCAATAATAAATTAGTTATTATTATATTTCCTTGTTCATGATAATCGTTTATTATCCATGCTATAATTGTATTGATAGGAAACTCAGATACATGTGTGAGTACATAGACAACACAATGTCCCTAGTAAGCCTCTAGTTGACTAGCTCGTTGATCAATAGATGGTTACGGTTTCCTGACCATGGACATTGGATGTCGTTGATAACGGGATCACACCATTAGGAGAATGATGTGATGGACAAGACCCAATCCTAAGCCTAGCACAAAGATCGTGTAGTTCGTATGCTAAAGCTTTTCTAATGTCAAGTATCATTTCCTTAGACCATGAGATTGTGCAACTCCCGGATACCGTAGGAATGCTTTGGGTGTACCAAACGTCACAACGTAACTGGGTGGCTATAAAGGTGCACTACGGGTATCTCTGAAAGTGTCTGTTGGGTTGGCACGAATCGAGACTGGGATTTGTCACTCCGTGTAAGGGAGAGGTATCTCTGGGCCCACTCGGTAGGACATCATCATAATGTGCACAATGTGACCAAGGGGTTGATCACTTGATGATGTGTTACGGAACGAGTAAAGATACTTGCCGGTAACGAGATTGAACAAGGTATCGGCATACCGACGATCGAATCTCGGGCAAGTACAATACCGCTAGACAAAGGGAATTGTATACATGATTGAATAAATCCTCGACATCGTGGTTCATCCGATGAGATCATCGTGGAACATGTGGGAGCCAACATGGGTATCCAGATCCCGCTATTGGCTATTGACCGGAGAGTCGTCTCGGTCATGTCTGCATGGTTCCCGAACCTGTAGGGTCTACACACTTAAGGTTCGATGATGCTAGGGTTATAGGGAATAGATATACATGGTTACCGAATGTTGTTAGGAGTCCCGGATGAGATCCCGGACGTCATGAGGAGTTCCGGAATGGTCCGGAGGTAAAGATTTATATATGGGAAGTCCTGTTTTGGTCACTGGAAAAGTTTTGGGTGCTATCGGTAATGTACCGGGACCACCAGGAGGGTCCCGGGGGTCTACCAAGTGGGGCCACCGGCCCCAGAGGGCTGCATGGGCCAAGTGTGGGAGGGGACCAGCCCCAGGTGGACTGGTGCGCTCCCCCTCCCCCCCACCAGGGCCCAAGGCGCCTAGGGTTTGGGAAGGGGGCGCCTCCACCTTACTTGGGGGGCAAGTTTCCTCTCTTCCCCCCCTTGGCCGCACCCTAGATGGGATCTAGGGGTTGCCGCACCCCTTGGGGTGGGAACCCTAGAGGGGGTGCAGCCCCCTCCCTCTCCCCTATATATACTTGAGGTTTTGGGGCTGCCATACACATGAGTTTCCACCTATCCCTGGCGCAGCCCTACCTCTCTTTATCCTCATCTGTCGCGGTGCTTGGCGAAGCCCTGCTGGAATACCACGCTCCTCCATCACCACCACGCTATTGTGTTGTTGTTGTATGGAGTCTTCCCCAACCTCTCCCTCTCTTCTTGCTGGATCAAGGCGTGGGAGACGTCACCGGGCTGCACGTGTGTTGAACGCGGAGGTGTCGTCCGTTCAGCATTAGGATCTCCGGTGATTTGGATCACGACGAGTACGACTCCTTCAACCCCGTTCTCTTGAACGCTTACGCTTAGCGATCTACAAGGGTATGTAGATGAACTCCCTATCTCTCGTTGCTAGTCTCTCCATAGATAGATCTTGATGACTCGTAGGAAAATTTTGAATTTCTGCTACGTTCCCCAATAGTGGCATCATGAGCTAGGTCTATTGCGTAGATTCTATGCACGAGTAGAACACAAAATAGTTGTGGGCGATGATTTGTTCAATTTGCTTACCGTTACTAGTCCAGTCTTGATTCGGCGGCATCGTGGGATGAAGCGGCCCGGACCGACCTTACACGTACTCTTACGTGAGACAGGTTCCACCGACTGACATGCACTTGTTGCATAAGGTGGCTAGCGGGTGCCAGTCTCTCCCACTTTAGTCGGATCGGATTCGATGAAAAGGGTCCTTATGAAGGGTAAATAGCAATTGGCATATCACGTTGTGGTTTTGCGTAGGTAAGAAACGTTCTTGCTAGAAACCCATAGCAGCCACGTAAAACATGCAAACAACAATTAGAGGACGTCTAACTTGTTTTTGCAGGGGTATGCTATGTGATGTGATATGGCCAAGAAGAATGTGATGAATGATATGTGATGTATGAGATTGATCATGTTCTTGTAATAGGAATCACGACTTGCATGCCGATGAGTACGACAACCGGCGGGAGCCATAGGAGTTGTCTTAATTTATTGTATGACCTGCGTGTCATTAAACAAACGCCATGTGATTACTTTACTTTATTGCTAACCGGTAGCCATAGTAGTAGAAGTAATAAGTTGGCGAGACAACTTCATGGAGACACGATGATGGAGATCATGATGATGGAGATCATGGTGTCATGCCGGTGACGATGATGATCATGGAGCCCTGAAGATGGAGATCAAAAGGAGCAAAATGAAATTGGCCATATCATGTCACTATTTGATTGCATGTGATGTTTATCATGTTTATGCATCTTATTTGCTTAGAACGATGGTAGTAAATAAGATGATCCCTCATTAAAATTTCAAGAAAGTGTTCCCCCTAACTGTGCGCCGTTGCGAAAGTTCGTCATTTTGAAGCACCACGTGATGATCGGGTGTGATAGATTCTAACATTCACATACAACGGGTGTAAGCCAGATTTACACACGCGAAACACTTAGGTTGACTTGACGAGCCTAGCATGTACAGACATGGCCTCGGAACACAAGAGACCAAAAGGTCGAGCATGAGTCATATGGTAGATACGATCAACATGAAGATGTCCACCGATGATGACTAGTCCGTCTCACGTGATGATCGGACACGGCCTAGTTGACTCGGATCATGTAATCACTTAGATGACTAGAGGGATATCTATCTGAGTGGGAGTTCATAAGATGAACTTAATTATCCTGAACATAGTCAAAAGTTTATTGCAAATTATGTCGTAGCTCACGTTTTAGTTCTATTGTTTTAGATATGTTCCTAGAGAAAATATAGTTGAAAGTTGACTGTAGCAATTATGCGGAC